CAAGGATATTTTTTCCATTGATCGAGAGAGAGAGAGAGAGAGAGAGAGAGAGAGAGACAGAGAGAGAGAGAGAGAGAAGGGGAGAGAGGAGAGGGAGAGAGAGAGAAAAAAAAAACAATAGATGATGTGAGAGAGACATCGAATGGTTGCCTCCCGCATGCACCCTGACTGGAGCAGGGATTGAACCCACAACCAAGGTAGATGTCCTTGATGAGGAATCAAACTCGGAACCCTTTGGTCTGTGGGCCAATGATCTAAGAACTGGGCAAAACTGACCAGGGCTTAATAGCAGTTTTAATACATAAAAGGTATATTTCTTTACAAGCTGTGTAAAGAATTTTACAACTTACTCAATTTGAAGTATAGTGTTTCTCTAAAACCAAATTAATGTATGGCAATGTATGGCACACATATTCAGAACAAAAGGATAACAAGAAAAGAATGATTTTTTAGTGAAGTCTGTCTTCTTTAAAATATCATGCAATAAAAAAATAACAGGGTTTGTTTATATTTAGGTAAGTGTATATTTACAATTTTTCCAACCAATATTACTACTTTTTCCCCCAAATGTGCAGATTGAGAAAACATTGAAAGGTTACCTAAATGTTACTGAGCCTCAATTTTAAGATGTTTTAGAAAGAGAAAGGGAAAATATCAGAATAGATTATTAAAAAAACCTTTGTCCCATCATATTCTAACTTGCAACTTTCCTAGTTTAGCACTGAAATTATGTCTTGGGAAACTCATCAATCTTTGGCGGACTGAGAGGATCCAGTCATTTAATGCTCAGAGAACCAAAAAATTATATACAAGGGTTTTGAACATATGCTATGTTGTACTTAATTAAGAGGATTTAAAAAATGTTTCAACTCTGATTTTTGCAAGGAACTTTGGTACAAAACAGATTGAATGCCAGAATGGCAAAAGCTCAGTTGGGTAACTGAGCTAAGACTATCACTAAATCACCAGGCACACACACACCCTTCTCATTGGAGTAATAATGCTATAAAAAATGAACAAAATATAATATGCCAAATATTTTTTTCTTAAGTGTAAATATGTAACCATATAGCAAAACATGAAGTGTCAAACTTACATTATTTTGTCTGTTTAATATATTTCTCTTTAAACACACATTTCCAAAAATTCAAATCCAATAACCTATTTGTTCTGTAATGTTAATCTCCTATTACTTAATATTTAAACAGCTCATAGCTATGAAGTTTTTAAATAATTACTTTTCTAATTTGATATGAGAACTTAATGTACAGTTAGCCAAATTTTGTGTTCTTGACTCTTTAGACTACTACATAGTCTACCCCCCATGTGTCAAAATCATTTGTAGGTTCTGTTGACATTCCAAACTTGAGCTTGCTTTATGATCCGGTGGGCCTTTTCATACAAATGGAGTTTGATTGTTAGTAGGTGAATGTGATAAAAAGATATTAGTAAAAAAGGACTGTTTTTTCCCCTGCTAGATTACCAGGGTAAATTGCTAATATAACGTGTAGCCTGGGAGAGCATCTGTGTACCAGTGAATATCTTAAGAAAACTTATATACTCTTGGAATTCAGCGGAAGAGGTAGGCCTAGGAATGGACCTCTAGCCAAAATTACAAAAGGGAAAATGTTGTCTTATTTGGGAGAGATGATAGATTTAATTTTGGGAAACTGGAAGCCAGTGAGTATAATGCAGAACTAGGTTTTAAAAGACATGAGACCACTTTTCTTAGCAGCAAATATGGATAAATTGGCAATTTCTTATCCTATGGATTATTATGAATGGGACTGGACTGGATTAAGAGGTTTGGAGATAGAAGTAGAGTTATCTATTTGCTCAGGGTGGCATAATCTCTCTAATCTGGGCAGCCCAAAGAAACACAATTTATCTTCCCAATTACCTTTACCAGCTCCAAATAGCCAGAACACTTATCCTGAGTTCACTAACTACTAAATTAGTACTTTATAAACCTTCATTTGCTTACAGGACCTTTATTTTGTTGCACAGAAGTTATCATCTCCTTTTTCTATCTCTAAAATATTTTGCCACAATAGGAACATTTTGATCAATTATTTTCTTTATTTCCAGCTTCTGAAGCTAATATATACAAACAGTTACAGAAAAAAACCACAAAATTTATTTTAGGAAGGAATTAAGTTGCTCTAATTTACAGAAAGCAGTGTCACAAAGTGCCAGTGATGATCAAATTTAGACTATGTAAGAGTTCCCTGGGGGCTGATTGAAAATGTTGTCTTCTGGTTTGTACCCCCAAGATAGTCTGAGTTTTTGGGTTTGGGATGGGTTTCAGCTACACTTCTAACAAAACCCAACAGCTGTAACCAGTTTGGCTCAGTGGATAGAGCGTCGGCCTGCGGACTGAAAGGTCCCAGGTTCGATTCTGGTCAAGGGCATGTACCTTGGTTGCGGGCACATCCCCAGTAGGAGGTGTGCAGGAAGCAGCTGATCGATGTTTCTCTCACATCGATGTTTCTAACTCTCTATCCCTTTCCCTTCCTCTCTGTAAAAAATTAATAAAATATATTAAAAAGATGTTCTGAGGCTGAATGAAAGCTACTTTAAGGATCTTGATGGCCTCATAAAAAAAAAACCCAACAGGTGATTCTGATTCAAGTCGTCTACATATTTTAAGGAGTGCTGCTGCAGGCAGTTATTTCAAGATGCAATAGTTTTGTGAAAGGTAGGATAATGAGTAGAGCCATGAAACTATATTAAAAAATGCCTCCAGGATCCCAGGCAGTAACTAGGTGTTTTGCTATACATTATTTCATTTGATCTTCAAAATATTCTATAAAAAAGATGTAATCTCCATTTTTACAGATGAGAAAATTGAGTCTTAATGAGATTAAATGACTTGCCTCAAATTATGCACCTCAGAACTCAGAACTTTTGACCGAATTCAGTAATCTTTATACTACACAACATAGTTCAGTAAGCTCTAGAATTCTAAAATAGGTACAATGAAAGCAGAAAGATTATTTTGAGCCCTGGCTGGTTTGCTCAGTGGTTAAAGTGTTGGCTCATGGACCAAAGGGTCTTGAATTTGATTCCTGGTCAAGGGCACATATCTCAGTTGCAGGCCTGATTCCCAGCCCTTGGTCAGGGCACATGCGAGAGGCAACCAATTGATGTGTCTCTCTCACATCAATGTTTCTCTCTCTCCCCCTACTCCCTCCCCTCCACTCTCTAAAAAAAAAGAATTTATTTTTGACAAATAATTTCTCCCACCCTCTATTATAACCCTAAACTATTAACATGACTATCGTAGTTTTGATCATTTTTTATAGTACATGGAAACTAATTTTGAAAACTGCTCACTTTCCTTGTAACTCCTTTACCTAGCTAAAACCTTCCTCTGTTCTTTTTTATAAGCTGTACTGAGGTACTTATTTAATCTCTTCATATGCCTTACTTTGCTCTGATACCCGGCAAAGCTCATTGTTTTAAGTGGCTTCCTGTGTTGCCAAGTGAAATGATCAACTTTTGTAGTGTGTACTGCGTCTGCCATGGAATCAGCTTTAAAAACTACCACAATCGCCCTCCAAATATAAAAAGCCAAAAATCACCTTATTTTTTAATTCTAGGTCCAAGGCTTAAAGTCACTAAAATGATAGTGCCTTTCTAACCTCCTACTATTATCACAATACTAGAGGCCCGATGTATGAAATTTGTGCACGGGTAGGGTCCTTAGGCCTGGCCAGTGATCAGGGCTGATCAGGGCCTTCTGGCTGCAGATCAGGGCCTGCCTTCATTCCACGCCACCCCCTGGTGGTCAGCACACGTCATAGCAAGCGATCGAACTCCCGGTCTTCCTGGTTGAACTTGCAAGGGGACACTTTGCATATTAGCCATATATATAAATAGATAGATAGATAGAGAGAGAGAGAGAGAGAGAGAGAGAGAGAGAGAGAGAGAGAGCGAGCGACTGAGAGAGAGAGAGACTGACTGACTAGAGGCCCGGTGCATGAAATTCGTGCAGGGGTGGGGGGTCCCTCAGCCCGGCCTGTACCCTCTCCATTCTGGGACATCCCTCTCGCAATCCGGGACCTCTGGCTCCTAACTGCTCACCTGCCTAATTGCCCCTAACCACTCTGCCTGCCTGCCTGGTTGCCCCTAACTGCTCTCCCCTGCCACCCCGGTTGCCCCTAACTGCCCTCCCCTGCCGGCCTGGATGCCCCTAACTGCTCTCCCCTGCTGGCCTGGTCACCACTAAACTCCTCTGCCTTGGCTCCTGCCACTGTGGCTTTGTCCAGAAGGATGTCTGGTCTAATTAGCATATTACCCTTTTATTAGTATAGATTCTCTGAAGGGTCAAAGTTTGCCTGACATCTGCCAATGACGTAACAGTTATCCAGACTTTAATTTTAATCCCAAAGTGATCTATTGACCTGTGTCTTTAACTGTTTTAATTGGTTAATTTGTATTTATCTGATATTTGCTAACTTTTTATAGGGAGTTGTATTTGTAACGGAAGAAGAGAAGAATAAAAAATATTAGTTTTAAAAGTGGCCTATGTGACTGCTTTTCTAAAAAGGTATTTAATGCTCTTAGTACTTTGGCTTATCTCTTTGAAATAAAGCTAATACACAAGATTGCCTTCACATTGTTGTACTCTCCCTTTCTTGGTTGATAATTGCATTGCCTAGAAATTGTTAATACCAGCTAAAACTACTTGGCTGCTCTATTAGTTCCTTTTTTGTCAAGTTTTTCTCATGTTTCTGCCTTCCAAGGAGTCTCAGGTATTTATGAGGTAATGGAGTACCTAAGAGGCCTAATTTTGTGGACATACTATGGTAAAATATAATTTTGAGGTATTAGCTTCCCACCATCTTTCTTTAAAAAAGAACCCCATAAGAAGTCATTGTGTGTCTCTGGACATCTCAATTGTTGCTGTCATTTAAATAAGGAAGCTCTTTGGTTTGCGTTTATTTTAGGCTTAATGATTATATAACCTAAACATTTCTCAATCTTGTCTCCTACAGGTAGACTGGGTACAATGTGATGGTGGCTGTGATGAGTGGTTTCATCAAGTCTGTGTGGGAGTATCTCCAGAAATGGCTGAAAATGAAGATTACATCTGTATAAACTGTGCAAAGAAGCAGGGGCCAGATAGCCCAGGTCAAGCACCAGCTCCTTCCTTCATAATGAGCTACAAACTACCGATGGATGATCTTAAGGAGACCAGTTAGCATATACTAAGTTAGTTTGGGACATGGGGAAAATGGACCACATTAAGATCTTAGTCATAAAATTGAGTGGATTAGATCCACTCACAATGTTGCTTCCAAAGACGAATGGCCTTCAGAGAAAGTCCTTATAGCTGACTTCTCTTTGCATGGACTGTGTGATCTACATTCTCTATCAACACGTCTGTGCAGAGGGTGTCTTCTTTGGTACAGCAGCCAATGTTTCAGTTCATGTCTCTGTTGAGTATGGTTTGTTACATTAAGGCCAGACATTTGATTGATCTCCAGGGTGGTTGGTGTGCCATCAGGGAATGCAAGATGTGTCTTATGGCCAGTTGGTATTAGAGGTTTATGACATAGAGGCAGCACCATCTGAGGTGCTGATTATGTGGCTCTCTTTGTTAGGATAGTTACAGAGGAGTCAGAGTACCACTTTCCCCACTATTACCTGGCATTTAGGGTCCTACAAATACAACTAGGAGAGGAACAGGGCCAGAGCTAACTCCTGTTAGAAGTCATGGGATGGTAGCACAGTCTAGACCTCAGCTACTTGTGCTTGTTTGTACCAAGAAGAAAACCCCAAGTGAGAGGCAGATCACCTTACCTTCCCAAGGAGGATGTCTTGTAGTTCAGAAATCTGACTAGATTGTATTCCGGGAAGAAGAGCTTTTCTTATTTCAAGGCAAGGAGCCTTTTGTTTGCTTAGAGAAGTCTTGCTGTCTTGGGTCTATATTTTAGAGCAGAGAAGGTCCATGGATCCAGACTTCTGCAAAAGAAAAGAAGACAAGTTAATGTTTTACTGAGCCACAGGGATGCATGCTTTTGGGGGAAACCTTCATTCACAAGTATACTAGATACCACCAGGCTTCAGGCATGGCCATGAACAAGACCAGCAAATAACATTTTGCCTTGCAGCCCCGATGCCAATGTCTGCTGTTTCCAATATTGACAATTTCTGATTGTGGTCCACACCAGATGCTGTTGAATAACACCATGGCTTCATCAGAGGATGTGGGATTGTAGGACCTCTGGGTGATGAAGTTGTTTTAGTAAATCCATTTTTTTAAAAAGAAAAAAGGACTTGTTTTTACTTTTTTCTAAATGTCTCTGACTACTGACTGTTCTATAAATAGATTATTTTTCCTTTTTTAATATACATATATGAATATATAAATATATATATATTTACTGTTACCAGCAGCATATGACAGAGTTCCTGTGTCAGAAATCCTTTTGGGGGCTTGCTTACTCTTTTTTGCTTTTTCATAAAGAAGTCCCATTCCTCCTTGTAGTACAAGGAGTTAGCACTTCCTTGTCCATCCTAGCCTAACCAGATCTTCCATTTTGTTTTTGTTCAAATAAATAATTATATTTCCTTTGTGTGTTGGGACTTGTCCCTGTCTGTTGGGAAACTTGGTCTTACTGTTTCTGTGATGGCTGTTTTTGTTTTTGTATGTGAATGTTTGAAACTATGGTGCTGTGTCCTCTTCCTTCCTGTTGTGTTCTCTTTTCTTGTTAAGGTGTTAGGTAAGCTGTATGGAAACTCTTACTAGAAGGGGACTAATTTTTTTTTTAAAGAAAAAAAACAAGCAAACTAAAAATAGTGTTTTGTCTTTACTGTCCTGTGTCCCTTTAATTTGGTTTAAAAATCTTGTTTGACTTAATCAGTTTTACTTTTAAAGAGGGCAGGAGCAGGGTGGACCTAAAGAATAGCTTCTAGTCTCCTTCCCATCTTACCCCAATTTGTTTGAAAGAAATGTCTTCTAGTAACTAGAAGTAAAATGTACTGTCCAGTCACAGTTTAAGTGGGTATGAGATTTAACTCAAAAGCCATCTTATTTAAAACACACACACACACACACACACACACACACACACACCACAAAAAGCTTTTCTATAAAATCCAGTTTTTATAAATGTGTTCTGTTTCAGGCTACCTACCTATATTTGAGTCACATATTGAGTGTTTTGACCTGTTGAGAGGTTCATAAGTGTTGCTGTGCATGTGTCTTGAGAATCTAATCTCAGGTGTGTGAATGATTTAAGATTTCAGTGGATATTGCAAGATAACCAATTTCATAAGTTTTCATTTTGCCAAACTATATAAAGATATTAAGAATTTTTTCATTTGGTCAATGTTACAGAAGAAAGCACAGTATTTTTTGCCTTTTGGTCTTTGTAAAAGTAATCAAATACTCGTGGGTTAAAAATTGAATGCAATTTTACGTGATGGTGGTCTTGGAATCCATTTTTAAATATTCTATTTTTTTCCTTCCTAGTCACCCATTAACTACTCAGCCCAGTGGAGGGGCATGAGGATGCTAAGAAAGATAGCTAAGGTGCTTTGCTTCTTGGAGTATGATAAATGGATATAGGTCGCTGTTTAAGGAATGCTTTATTTTCTGAATATGGCATTTGCCTGCTAGAAACCTGGGAGAAAAATGCAGGGCATTCTCCAACCATGAATAAATAGCTTCCTCTTTTTCTTCTGACATTTTGAAACTTACATACATCAATTAATATATACTGTGGGATTTTCTATATTTGAAAATCACAGAGGATTTGGTCTGACTCTTGACCATAGATTTAGATCAAGGCTGAGAATAACAGGTGAAATTAGTTTTTTTTTAAGAGAGAGAAATTAACATACAAATCAATTTGGAATTAATGGACTAAGATTCATCTATTTGAAGAAATGCTGATGCTCTAACACAAGACATTGTTTTCAGTTAGAAGAAATTACTACTTACAACTTATCCCATTCTGTGGTATTGAAACATTTTTATATTAAAACTTAACTTAAAATGTTTCTTTCCCCAAATATCTCCTCAAAGTTGTAATTCCTCACCATGGGTATTTTAACTTATATGTCAATCCTTTCAAAGATGTTTCCTACTACCTTCATTATAAACTATTTTGGCAAAGGTTATAGAACGAAAAATGAAGAAATGCTAGGTCTTTGATAGTCTCAAAGGATGGGTAATTAGAACTATGCAAGCTGCTAAGTTTACAAGTACAACTAATACATCGGTAGTAGCTTTCTTGTTGGGGGAACAAGGGGCATTTTGCTGTCACAAATGTGTATTTTACTGTGAAAGTTACTGCAACAAAGCCATGTTGAGATGTAGATGCTAGGCTCCCTAAATTGCTGCAAACCAGCTTTGCACTGCATGAGTCAAATTTGTGCCTCAATAAAATTACAAATTACTGTATATCATACTTTGAAAAGGCAAACATTAAATCTGATTCACCATAATATATTTTAATCAAAACTCTAGCAAAGGCTAACAGATTTGTAATATTAGAACAAAATTTCCTATACTTTCACTTCTGTTCTCTGCTTTCGTCTTTAACAAGTATCTAAGAAATTATTTGATTTTCTTCATTTTTTTAGTTTGGGTGCAATTCAGTGCACGTAAAAGAAACGCCCTGCTTGTCAATATTTTGATTCTATAATCATTTGTGTGAACATCAGCAAGTACTTAAAATAGGAGGATGAAAGGAAAAGTTGAGAAAACCCAAGTGAGGTTATCTACTTTTTAAAGGAGAAAGTGACAGTTTTGGAGTGGGATTTGTAAATTGTGGAAAAATTAAGCAGTTAAAGTCCCACGTATAACCAAGTTTAATAAAGGGTTTATGTGTGAACAGTGTGTAGTAAGTTGCTTTTGCAGTAAGTCCTTAAGTATAGATTTTAAAAAGCAGGTAAATGATTTGCTGTCCTACATGTTGTTTCTTAATTAAAGTATATAATTACTTTTTTGATATGGATGTGCCAACTGGTGTTTATAGCATGAGAAGGAAAGGATGAATGTTAATCTATTTTGGAATTGCAGTCTTCTCTTGGCTTGGGTCATATCCAGTCACCACTATGCAATGAATGATGTGCACTGGGAAAGGTTAGGATGGGTTTTTAAAGATGTATCCTACTTATCTTTACCATTGCAGTACTCCAAGATGTCTAAACAGGAATGTGTTTTGTAAACCTCAAGACCCTGTGTTGGTTATTCCCTTAAATATTTATTTATTTGCTAGTGAGACACTTAAATATAATATGGATTCTAATTTGCCAGGGTTTTTGGTGGTGCCTTATGAAAAGTATAACCTGATTTCTTGTTTTTTGAGCATGTTTTGCATTTTTTGTTTTCTGAAAGAATATTAGATATGGTTATTTGCATTGCATCTAAAAAATAAAGAACATTTTTATGTGTGCTCAGGTTCCCCCCTACTTCATCATTTACAGTGGTGGCAACTCTGGTAATCGAGTAAAGGTAAATTTTGGCAGTGAGTTATTAATGATCCTGAGGAATACTAGCAAGTATATGAGAGCCACTTTTAACCTGTGCCAAAGCAGTTTCTAATATTGTATTTGCTCTCTATAAAATAAAGAACTGGCCTCAAATAATTTGATCAGTAGTGTGTTTAACCTACTGCATTGCTGAGAATAGTGTAACAAAAAGTATGAAGTTGGAAAAGTGATTCCTGAAGATTTCACTTGCTTTCAGCAAGAATCCAGTGATTCCCAACAGACATTTCCCCACCTTTGATTCTTGAGCGATTTATTCATTTGCAACAAACCAGTAATTTGGAAAATGAAATATAGTTGACCACTGAACAACATGGGTTTGAATTGTACAGGTCCACTTATACACAGATTTTTTTTTCGAGAAGTATTATACATGTATTTTCCTTACATTTTCTTAATTGTTTCTTTCCTCTAGCTTGCTTTATTGTAAGAATACAGTATATGCTGTATATCACACAGAGTACAAGTGGAGCCTTAGTTCTCAAACTTAATTTGTTCCAGAAGACTGTTCGAGAAGTGATTTGTATTTTTAATATTCTTTTTTATTGATTTCAGAGAGAGGAAGGGAGAGGGAGAAAGAGAAACTGATCAGCTGCCTCCTGCACATCTCCTACTGGTGATCGAGCCTGCAACCTAGGCATGTGTCCTAACCGAGAATCAAATAGTGACCTCCTGGTTCATGGGTCGACTCTCAGCCACTGAGAACAATATAAAGAATACCGTCAAATACTATATCGTGAATAAACTTAGAATGATTTTTAGAGCTTAATATTTCCATATAGTAATTCCATGAAATTACTAGGCGAGGATTTTTCTCTAACTTTGTCTTTGGAGCTAGGTAGTATGTATATCTTGTTAATGGGAAAAAAAGGCACCACCACGAGAAGCTTTTAAGGATGGCTTGTGATGCTAGCTGAAAGCTTGTTTTAAGGAACCCTGATGAGTTAGTTGTAAGGGACATAGGAAAGAAGTCAGAATTTTCTGTAGTAAAAAATAAAACCACAAAAAACCAACAAAACAAACTTCAGAAGCCCAAATGAAGAGTTCAGGTAAAGAACACTGATTTTAGGAATCAAGTAATCTGGTTTTTATAATTCTTTGTATGACCTTATGTTAGTTACTTAACTTTTTTGAGTCGATTTTTTTTTTTTTTTTACTATCTGTGGGTTATATATAGACATTTAAATTACAGCCCCTCTCCTTAAAAGAGGGTAAAATATAGATGATGAATTTTAAGGATTTTTTTTTTGAAGTGAACATATCAAGATTTTTTCTTAGATCTCCAGTTGGGCTCAACGCATTCAAGCCTCAGCACAATCTTCTTTGTAGTTTTAGCCTTTTATCGGAAATTGGCTTAGTCTGCCCACCTTAGCCACTCTGCTTCCTGTCATAACTCCGCTTTCCCCGCACATACAGAGAATCCCTGCCTTTCTTGTATGGTGTTACTTTGTGGGGTTGATGCTTGCCACACTTCTTACAGAAAGTTCGGTGGGTTTTAGGAACATTCACCATGTTTGCGAGCGCTATCGGCAGGGAAAGAAGGATATTTTTAAATAAAACTATACAGTTTAAAGAGTAAGATACAGGTGGGTTTTAGACATGTAGTCCAATCCCCATTTAATGATAGAAAAATCTGTTCAGCACTTCTGAGGAGGGAACATACATCCTATATTGAATATTTAGTCCAGGGGTGGGCAAACTTTTTGACTTGAGGGCCACAATGGGTTCTTAAACTGGACCAGAGGGCCGGAACAAAAGCATGGATGGAGTGTTTGTGTGAACTAATATAAATTCAAAGTAAACATCATTACATAAAAGGGTACGGTCTTTTATTTTTTATTTTTATTCATTTCAAACAGGCCGGATCCGGCCCGCAGGCCGTAGTTTGCCCACGGCTGATCTAGTCTCCTTTTAGAAAAAATGTTGTGTTGGTCATTAACAAATTCATATTAGAGATTACCCATAGTTTTACCTTCACTTGGGTCTTAATTGTGCAGTTCATGAAGCACTTTCATGTGTGCCCCAAAACCGGCATCTTGCCATTTATTCTGTGCTGAACTCTGAAGGTAAGGTGAGG